TAAGTTTAAATTTTAAATTATTCAGATTAAATAACATAAGAAATTTAGGTCCTCAGTTTCACTGGCCACATTTCAAGAGCTCCTTAGCGACAGGGTGACATTATTGCTGTTGGGTGCCATCAAGTAGATTCTGACTCATAGCGACCCTGTATGACAAAATAGAACTGCCCCATAGGGTTTCCTAGGCTGTAACCTTTATAGAAGCAGATTGCCAGGTCTTTCTCCTGCAGAGCCTTTGGATGGGCTTGAACCTTTCAGTTAGAAGTCAAGCACTGAATCATTGAATAGCGCTGGTCTAGAGATCTAGAACAGAGGTTGGCAAACTACTGTCCACAAACTATTCTGGCCCACTTTTTGTTTTTATAAATAAAGTTTTATTGGCACACAGCCATGCTCCTTCATTGAGATATTGTCTATGTGCTTCCCTGCTACAATTGCAGAGTTGAGTAGTTGTGATGTGACAGAGACCTCACGGCCCGCAAAGCTGAAAATGATTACTCTCTGAGGTTTTACAGAAAAAGTTTGCTGCCCCTGGTCTAGAATGTTTCAGAACGACACTGTCCGATACAGTAGCCATTAGCCACATGTAGCCACGCATGAGCACTTGAAATGTGACTGTGTGACTGAGGAACTAAATTTTAAATTGTGTTTAATTATAATAAATATCAATTTACATTGAAAAAGCTGTCCTGCTCTTAGAAAACTCTTAAGTCTGTTTAGAACAACTTGGGTATTTGAATCTACCCTTTACAATAGTCAAACTTATAAAATCCAAATATGGATGAGGCATTGATGATAAAAATATAGTGTTCAAATTGAGAAATGCTATGAGTGTAAAACACACACAAGATGCCGAAGACTTTGTAAGGAAAAAAAAGACAAACAGAATGAGAAATATCTCCTTAATAATTTTCATATTGATTACATGTTGAAATGATAAGATTTGGGCTATATTGGGTTAAAATGGAATATATTATTTAAATTAATTTCACCTGTTTCTTTTACATTTTTGAAGTGTTGTCAAGGAAATTTTAAATTTCTATGTGGCATGTATTATATTTCCGCTGGATAGCACTGCTTCAGAACATTCACCAGATTTTTATTCTCCTAACCTTAGCATAATTGACTTTTGGAGCTGGCTCCTTCTCTGGGGTGGGGTGTCCTGTGCTTGTAGGGTGTTGAGCAGCATCCCTGGCCTCCACCCACTCGATGCCAGTAGTATCCCTCCCCCCAGGTGTGATAGCCACAAATGTCTCGAGACATCACCAAGTGTTCCCTGGGGGATATCACCCCGGGTGAGAACTCTCGTGCTGGGGGATTCCACTGACTCCCAGGAGACTCTGCGTCCCATAATCATCTAACCTACTGATGTCCTAGGACGCTGCTCACATTTAAATCCACACACTGAGTGGGGAGGGGAAAGGAGGAAAATCACAGGAGCTGGGCAGTCACCCTGTTTTACACCGTCTGACCCATTGGGAATTTATTCTGGTGTATTCTGTGAGCAAGGACCAAACTCACATTTTTTCCAAATAATTAACACAGGGTTTCTGCCCCTCAGTACAGCTGATATGGGGGCTGGATCCTTCTCTGGGGTGGGGCCGTCCTGTACACTGCAGGGTGTTGAGCAGCATCCCTGGCCTCCACCCGCTCAGTACAAGTAGCACCTCCACTTCCCAGTCGTGGCACCCACAAATGTCTCCAGACATCACCCAGTGTCCCCTGGGGCAGAATCACCCCCAGCTGAGAACTCCTCCTAACCTAACATAAACTCCTTTCTTAGGCAACCAAACCTCTTGTGTTCTCGACTCTCGAGCCACCCTCAGCAGCATGCTGGGCATGTTCCTGCCTCCAAGTCTTGGTACATGCTGTCCCCACAACACCCCCATCTCCATTTCCATCTGTCAAAACCCTCCTCATCTCTCAAGACTCAGCTCATATGCCCGCTCCTCCAAGAAGCCATCCTGTTTGCCCTCCACTAAATGGTCAGCGTCTGTCAGTGGAGGCTTGCATGTAGCTGGGATGCTGAATAGGTTTCAGCAGAGCTTCCAGACTAAGACAGACTAGGAAGAAGGACCTGGCGGTCTACTTCTAAACATGAGCCAATGAAAACCCTATGGATCACACAACAGTCCAATCCCAACGGATCATGGGGATGGTGCGGGACGGGGCAGCATTTGTTCCGTTGTGCATGGGGTCACCATAAGTTGGGGCCGGCTCGATAGCAACTAACAGTAATAAATGGTCAGCACAGGTGACCTGATCCTGCTGCCCGTGATCACCCCTACATTCACTCTGCAGTCACCCCATAGTAGGTTGAATGGTGGCCTCCCAAAAGATATGTCCAAGTCCTGACCCTCAGAACCTGTGATTGTGACCTTATTTGGAAAAAGGGTCTTGGCAGATGTCATTAACTTCAGGATCTTGAAATAAGATCAACCTGGATTTGGGTTGAACCCTAAATCCAATGACAGGCATCCTCAGAAGAGACAGGCAAGGGAAGATTTGTGAGACCTCGACACAGAGAAGAAGGCCTTGGGGAGACAAAGGCAGAGACCGCCGTGGTGGAGCTATCAGCCCCTATTGCTAGAGAAGCACATCTTGTCTGGTAAAGTAGAGGGTCAGCGAAAACAAGGAAGACCCTCAATGAGATGCACCGACGCAGTGGCTGCAACAATGGACTCAAACATAGCAATGACCATGAAGACAGTGCCGGACTGGGCAGTGTTTTGTTCTGTTATATACAAAAACAGAAAACCAAACCATAGCTGTTGAGTCGATTCCGACGGATAGCGACCTTATCGGGCAGAGTAGAACTGCCCCACGTCATTTCCAAGGCTGTAAATCTTTACAGAAGCGGACTGCCACATCTTTCTCCCGAGGAGTGGGTGGGTTTGAACCGCTGACCTTTCGGTGAGGAGCTAAGGGCTTTAACCCCTGTACCACCAGGGCTCCTCTATTATGCATAAAATCTGTTATATATGAGTCAGAGCCGACTCAATGGCAAATTACAAGCCAAGCAACGCCAAGGATTGCTGGCAGCAACCAGGAGCTGGGAGAGTCAAGGGAGGATCCTCCCTTAGAGCCTTCAGAGGGAGCACGGCCCCGCCAACACCTGGATTTCAGACTTCTGTGAGAGAATAAATTTCTGTTGTTTGAAGCCACCAGGTTTGTGACATTTGTCACATCAGCCCTAGTACACTATGACATTCCCTGACTGCCCCCTCACCCCCAGCCCTGATTCCAAAATGCATCCTGAATCCAATAGCTTCTTTCTCCTTCCCAGCTGTCCCTGCTCAAACCTAGGTCACTCTCATCGCTGGCCTGGACTGCCCCACCTGCCCCCTCCCTGGTCTCCCTGCTGCCCCTCGGGCCCCCAACACCCCCATGTGGCACAGCAGTCTCCCTAAGGGACCTTTTAGAAATGGAAATCCCCTGAAACTATGGCCCCCGGACGCATGGTTAACCCAGAACTGAAACCGTTCCTGACAGGACTATAAAACAAAACCAAAAAATAATACATGTGAGGAGTGTGCTTCTTGGTTCAATCAGATACACGAGACCAAATGGGCAGCTCCTGTCTGGAGGCAGGATGAGAAGGCAGGAAGGGACAGGAACTGGTCGAACGGACACAGGGAACCCGGGCTGGAAAGGGGGAGTGTACTGTCACATTGTGGGGATTGTAACCAATGTCACAAAATAATATGTGTATAAATTTTTGAAGGAGAAATTAACTTGAGGTGTAAACTTTCACCTTACACACAATAAAAAATAAAAATATCCTTCCAAAAGTGTAAAAAAAAAAAAAAAAATGAAGCTAGCTCATTCCTCCGCCAGCACCCCTGCCATGGTCTCAGTCATCCTTGGAATAAAACCCAAACCCCTCCTGGCGGTGGCGCACGAGGCTTGGTCCAGCCTGGAAGCCTTTGCCCTGGCTGTTCCCCCTGCCTGGAATGCTCTTCCCACTGAGGGGGATGTCTGCCCAAGCAGCCCCTGCATACCAAGGTGGTGGCCCTGTCTGCTCCGTAAGGACAAGAAAAAAGAAAAGCCCTTGGTTTCGGACTTTGCTTTTTGTTTGTTTTTAAGTGCTGTTTAGTTGATTCCAACTCCTAGCGACCCCGTGTGAAAGAGTAGAACTGTCCCATAGGGTTTCCTGGGCTGTAATCTTTATGGGAGCAGATCACCAGGGCTTTCTCCCGTGGAGCTGCTGGGTGGATTTGAACTTCGAACCGACAACTTTTGGCTAGCGGCTGACTCACTTAACCCTTTGTGTTCTATGTAGAGAAGCAAGCAGGGTCTAGGCTCCCTCTCATGACCCACAGGGTCCTGCATGACCTGCCCTGTCCCCTCCCTGCCCTCCCCTCCTCACTCCCCCTCGCTCACTCCATTCCAGCCACATGGGCCTCCTCAATGTTCCCCCAACACACCAGGCCTGGTCCTGCCTCAGGGCCTTTGCACAGGCGGTGCCCTGTGCCTGGAATGTCTGGCTAACGCTGCCTCAGGCTTCAGGTCTCACCCTGGGCTGGGTGCCCTTGTGCACTATGCAACCTATGCCACTGTACACAGTGACTCTGGTGTGGCACGTAGGGCATGGCATGCAGTAGGCACTCAGTATATACTCAGGTGATGCTTTCTGTCCCTCAACTCCTGGCACCTCTTTCTGGGTCCATTTGCTGCTGTTGTTGTTGGGTGCCGTCAAGTCAATTTCAACTCCTAGTGACCCTGTGTGACAGAGTAGAACTGCCCCATAACGTTTCCTAGGCTGTGATCTTTATGGGAGCAGATCACCAGCTCTTTCCCCGAGGAGCCCCTGGGTGGGTTCGAACCACCAATCTTCCTTTTAGCAGCTGAGCGCTTAACCCTTGTGCCACCAGGGCTCCATTTCTGGGTCCAGAGCCACAGGGTTTTCACAGCTGATCCCAGGAAGTGGCTCGGGGCCACCCCAGGCTGAGGGCAGCCCCTCCGTTGTCTCCCCCACACAGACACCTCACAGGACTCACCCCAGGCAAGGTCTTCTGCTCGTGCAGGGCCGTCTGGGCTTTGATGGCAGAGTCCCTGGCACAGTAGGTGAGAAAGGCACAGCCTGGAGGGAAGAGAAACGAGGGGTTGAGAGGAGAGAACATCACGTGGAGAACATGCTCAGAGAAAGAACTAGACTCGAAAGGACAAATATCGCCTGAGCCCACTTACATGAAATGCCTACAATAGGCAGACTCATAGACAGAGAAAGCAGATCAGAGGTCGCTACTCTGTCCTCTAGGGTTGCTGTGAGTCGGAAGCGACTCGACAGCAAGGTTGTTGTTTTACTTTTTAGAGCGGGTGAACTTGTTTTAATTTTCTTCAGTATGGACTATATCACAACGTAAAGAAAACAAAAATCCTCATGCTGGCCCAATAAGCAACATCATGATAAATGAAGAAAAGATTGAAGTTGTCAAGGAATTCATTTTACTTGGATCCACAATCAACACCCATGGAAGCAGCAGTCAAGAAATCGAAAGACACATTGCATTGGGCAAATCTGCTGCAAAAGACCTCTTTAAGCTGTTAAAAAGCGAAGATGTCACCTTGGGGACTAAGGTGAGTCTGACCCAAGCCATGGTGTTTTCAAACGCCTTATGGAAGCTGGACAATGAATGAGGAAGACCAAAGAAGAATTGACATCTATGAATTATGGTGTTGGGGAAGAATATTGAATACACCATGGACTGCCAGAAGAACGAACAAATCTGTCGTGGAGGAAGTACAACAAAAACGCTCCTTAGAAGCAAGGATGGCGAGACTTCGTCTCACGTACTTTGGACATGTTATCAGGAGGGACTAGTCCCTGGAGAAGGACATCATGGTTGGTAAAGTAGGGAGTCAGCGAAAAAGAGGGAGACCCTCAAAGAGATGGATTGACACAGTGGCTGCAACAATGGGCTCAAGCATAACAACGACTGTGAGGAGGGCACAGGACCGCGCAGTGTTTCCTTCTGTTGTACGCGGGGTCGCTATGAGTCAGAACTGACTTGATGTCACTCAACAACAACGGGGCAGGCGAAAGGAGTCCTGGTGGCCCAATGGTTAAGTGCTCGGCTGCTAACTGAAAGGTTCGCAGTTCAAACCCACGTAGTGGCTTCAAGAGAAAAAGACCTGGTGGTCTGCTCCCATAAAGACTGTAGCCTAGAAAACCCTATGGGACAGTTGTTCTCTGTCACGTGGGGTCACTGTGAGTTGGAATCGACAGGAAGGCACCTAATATCAACGGGGCTGGGGAGGGGGAAGGGGTAGTGAGTTATTGTTTAAGGGGGGCTGAGTTTCTCTTTGGGGGGATGAAAAGCTGTAGGAAGTGGATAGCGGTGACGTCTGCACCCGGTGATGAATGTAATTAACATTACTGAATTGTACCCTTAAAAATGCTTAAAATGGCCAATTTTTGTTAGATATATATTTTGCCACAGAGAAACTAAGAGGACACTGGAGCCTCCTCTTTTGCGGTGGGGGGAAGGGTGGACAGCGGCTAATTAAATCCAGAGCTGATTCTAGGTGAAGTATACTGAGAGCCGGTGGGGATCGCAGGGCGGCTGCTCCAGGGAGGAGGGTGGGGAGCGGACCCCAAGGAGCCAGACCAGCCCCTGGCATTAGGATGGGGAGAGCAGGGGGCTCTGCCCCCGACCTGCTGTGTGGCCTTGGGACGGGCGCTGCCCCTCTCTGGGCCTCGGTTTCCCGTGTCAGAGTAAACCATTGCCTTGGAGTCGATTCCGACTCATAGCGACCCTATAGAACAGAGTAGAACTGCCCCATAGGGTTTCCAAGGAGCAGCTGGTGGATTCGAACAGCCAACCTTTTGGTGAGCAGCCAAGCTCTTAGCCACTGCGCCACCAGGGCTCAGAGCAGGTGGTTCCAGACTGCTGTAGGACAGACCGCCACGGGGTGGGGGCGGAGCCAGAGGGGGTGCGACCGCCAAAGGCAGGGCCAATCAGGAGAGGCGAGGGACGGGGCCAGCCCTGAAGGTGGGCCAGAGTGAGGGAGCGATTGGGCGGCTTCCTGGGGTGGGGGTGTGACAGCGACCAGTGATGCTGAGCGAGACAGAGACAGAGAGAAGCAAGTAGAGAGAGCAAGAGAAAGACCAATGAGACCAAAGTATTTTGAAAGCTGTTAGCCTGAGAAGGGGTCAGGTGTGCAGAGTGGTCCCAAGGGTCTGGACCCCAGCCTCAGGCCCAGCCTCCCTAACCTCTGTGCGCCTCACTTTTGCTGCCTGTGAAATAAGGCCATCGTGGTCTGAGGTCTCCCTGACTCCCCCCTTGGGCCTCCCTGTGCAGAGCCGCCTCGAAATAGCGCTACGTACGGTGCCTGCTTCCACCCCAGGTGGAAGCTAATTAGCGCTTCGTCCTGCTGGGCTACTTGCCGCGCGGTGGCTCCCACCAGCTGGTGGTAGGGAGGGGTCCGCTCCAGGCCCGTAACCCTGGGAGGGGGTGGGGGCCAGACAGAGCTGGGGATGGTTTCTACCACTTTTAAAGCATTTGTAACTGGGATATATTACAAACATACCCAGGGAGCCCCGGTGGCCACCCCACCAGCCGCTCTGCAGGAGAAAAGATCTGGTGATCTGCTCCTGTGAAGACTACTGCCTAGGAAGTCCTGTGGGACAGTGCTGCTCTGTCCTATAGGGTCGCTATGAGTCGGAATAGACTCAATGGCACACAAAAACAACACAAACATACTTCCCCAAACAGTCCGGAACACCTAAGTGTACACTGTAACAAGCAATTATAAAGCATGTCACCATGGAAGCAGCAGTCAAGAAATCAAAAGACACATTGTATTGGGCAAATCTGCGGCCAAAGACCTCTTTAAAGTGTTAAAAAGCAAAGATGTCACTTTATGGGCTAAGGTGCACCTGACCCAAGCCATGGTGTTTTCAATCGGCTCACGTGCATGGGAAAGCTGGACAATGAATAAGGAAGACCGAAGAAGAATTGATGCCTTTGAGTTGTGGTGTTGGCAAAGAATATTGACTATACCATGGACTGCCAGGAGAATGAACAAATCTTGTCTCGGAAGAAGTACAGCCAGAATGCTCCTTAGAAGAGAGGATGGCACGACTTTGTCTCATGTACTTTGGACATGTTATCAGGAGGGATCAGTCCTTGGAGAAGGACATTGTGCTTGGTAAAGTAGAGGGTCAGCAAAAAAGAGGAAGACCCTCAACGAGATGGATTGACACAGTGGCTGCAACAATGGGCTCAAGCATAACAAGGATCATGAGGACGGCGCAGGACCAGGCAGTGTTTTGTTCTGTTGTACACGGGGTCGCTATGAGTTGGAACTGACTCGAGGGCACCTCACAACAACAACAGCCTTCTCTCAGGTCAAGAGATAGAACACAGCAGAACTAGGAGACCCCTTGTTCCCCCCAACCCCAAGTTATCACATACCCCTCCCTCCATCAAAGGTAACTGGACTTTGGTTATCTTGTGATAACCACATCTTTGCTTTTCTTTATGGTTTGCTATCTTGCATGCTTCCATAATCAGTGCATTTGAGTGCTTCCTGTTTTTGAATTTATATAAACGAAATCATAGCGTGTGTACACTTTTGTATCTGGCTTCTTTCGCTCAACATACGCTCAACAACAGGTGGTGGTGTGTAAAAATACCAGTTGCGTCAAGTCGACTCCAACTCATGGCAACCCCGTGTGTGTCACAGTAGAACTGTGTTCCGTAGTGTTTTCAGTGGCTGAGTTTTTGAAAGTAGATTGCCAGGCCTTTCTTCTGAGGTGCTTCTGGATGGACTTGAACCTCCAATCTTTCAAATAGCAGCCAAGCGCATTAACTCTTTGCACCACTCAGGGACTCCTGGTTGTATGGCTCGGTGGTAATTCATTTTTGTTTCTGTATAGCATTTTAGCGTATGAATATATTACAATTGTTTATGCATTCTCCTGTTGATGGGCATTTGGGTTGTTTGCCATTTGGGACTATTACAAATAAAGCTGCTGTGAACACTGTTGTACAAATATTTTGATGCACAAAAGCATACCCAGGAGTGGAATTGCTGATCATAAAGTGGACGTATGTTTAGCTTTGATTTTTTCAAACATTTTTCCAAAGTGGGTTATACCAATGGATACTCCCACCAACAAGGTATGAGAGTTCTATTAATGCTTCATCTTCACCAATACTTCATTTTCCCAACCTTTTAAATGTTAGTTATCATGATGGATGTGTCCTTGTATTTCGTTGAGGTTTTAATGTACATTTCTATACTTATTAATGAGGGTGGGTGCCTTGTTGCTTTGTAGGGGTTCTTTATATATTCTTCATGCTTATCCTTTTTTGGATATGTGATGTAAACGTCTTCTCCCATGCCTTGGCTTGTCTTTCCTCTCTCTTTTTGGTGTTTCTGTGTTCCGAGTTTAATCCCCCCAGGTTTTCAGGAAGGAGTACGGATGCTGCAGTGGTGCAGTGGTTAAGCACTTGGCTGCTAACCAGAAGGGTGGCAGTTTGAACCCACCAGCCGCTCTGCGGGAGAAAGATGTGGCAGTCTGCTTCCATAAAGATTAACGCTTTGGAAGCCCTATGTGGGCAGTTCTACTCTGTCCTATGCAGTTGCTATGAGTCAGAATCGACTAGACAGCAATGGGTTTTTCGGTTTAGGTCTTCAGGGAAAGGAGATATGCAAAGACAACCAGCCCTAAGGCCTGAGAGAAACCAGGCATAATTGGCAAGAAATTGGGCTGTAGGCAGATTTAAACCAACAAACAAAAAATCAGGGGCAAAAAAGTTTCTGCTGGGATTTTTTCTTGCCTGTAGCATCATTGCTGGTGGAACATGAAGGGTGCTGGGCCTCGGAGGGTAGGGGTGAGACCCCTAAGCAACCTTCAAGGCCATTTACCCCTGCGTCTGGGAGTTTTTCAGACCGCGGGTCGCTGTCCCTGGTGCTGAAACCATTCCCTGCAGCCCTCTTGGTCTCTTTTTCCTTTTCTAGTTAGTGAAGTAAGTTAGTGCCAGTAAGCAAGGCACGCACAGGCTTACTTGTGTTTACTTACTAATCTGTACTGCACCATTTTACATGAGTTTCTCCACATCTTTAGTAAGT